AGTAAAATGACTGGAGGCAAGTAGAATAAGTGGTTCGAAGGTCAAACAAGACGCATCGTGCGAAAAATGAATGATGAAAGTGCGGATGGAGAAGAGGTGGAACGAATCATGTCACATAATGTTAGCTGTAATAGGTTAGATTGGCAAATCAAGTGGTTGTTGGATTTACAGAGAGCATTTTCGCCCGGCGATGCTTCATGTAGACGACAAAATCACTTGCCTCCTTATAGTTCCGATTGGTCTGACTGACGCTAAATAGGGGATCCGTCAAATAGATGTCGAAGCGGTCGTCATCATCTTCGACACTATCAATCTCTCCTGGATCCTTTAATAAAAGATCAGAGTTAGGCTCGTGTCTCGTTTGTTCCTGAGTTAGTCCTTTCCTGGAAAGTGAGTTAGAAGAATCCGGATTTGGCTTTAGGTGCCACTGAAATGAGGAGATAAGAAGTAATTTGTTTAAACACGTTAATCATTAAAAGACTTGGTGGAATAATTGAAAACATCTTTCTTGTTAGAGCTATAAAATATAAACAAGAATGTATGAACGAAAAAGAAAAATTATGCGCACACTAGAATTAAAAATATAGGAGAATAAAACAATTTAGAGCAAATATAAGTTTTAACAGTAAATCTAGCTTGCAACGATTTGCACGAGCACGAAAAATTTGTCTTATTTTCAATTGCATAGATAAATTGATTACTGAAAACTTAATTCTATAAGAATTAGAACATAAATACCTAAGAACTAGAGTTAAAATATACAAAGAGATTTATCCTTCCGAACAAAATGAGTAGCATTGTAGAAATTTCAGATAACCACGAATAAATTATTGATTTTCGGAAAATGGTTTAGATGCATATACGCGAACACTTACATGCATGAGCGTCCCGGAAATGAGGCATACAAAATATGCCGATAAGTATAGATGAAAGAGGCTATCAATAAATCAGGATTAGGAGGAATTGAAACCGTAAAGATTTTTTTTAAGTTTCGAAGTACAGCTCAGGAGCAGCTCACTTCTGGCAAAGGTGTCTATTTGTATAAGAATGAGTTGACAAAAGGATTAAAGGATGCATCTAATATTGCGAGAG